CCCATAGAATTTTAAGATTGTAGATATCTTAATCTAATCGTCATAAACAGTTCCCACACTCCGGACTGCTCGCATTTACTACTTCCTTCACCACTTCATACGTCTTGGACTTTTTCTCTCCCTTCCCATAGCATTTTAGGATTGCAGATCCCTTAATCAAATCGTCATAAACAGTTCCCACACTCCGGACTGCTCGCATTTACTACTTCCTTCACCACTTCCTACGTCACGGACCTGTTTACCTCCCTTCCCATAGCATTTTAGGATTGCAAATACCTTGATCCAATGGTCATAAACAGTTCCCACACTCCGGACAGCTTCCCTTGACTACTTCCTTCACCACTTTCTACATCGTGGACCTGTTTTCCTCCCTTCCCATGGCATTTTATGATTGCAGATACCTCAATCTAATCGTGATAAACAGTTCCCACACTCCGGACAGCTCGCCTTGACTACTTCCTTCATCACTTCCTACGTCACGGACCTGTTTTCCTCCCATCCAATAGCATTTTATGATTGCAAATACCTTAATCTAATCGTCATAACCAGTTCCCACACTCCGGACTGCTCGCCTTTACTACTTCCTTCACCACTTCCGACGTCGCGGACCTGTTTCCCTCCCTACCCATAGCACCATAGGATTGTAAATACCTTAATCTAATGGTCATAAACAGTTCCCACTCTCCAGACTACTCGTATTTACTACTTCCACTTCCTTTACCACTTCCTACGTCACGGACCTGTTAACCTCCCTTCCCATAACATTTTATGATTGCAGATACCTTAATCTAATCGTCATAAACAGTTTCAACACTCCGGACTGCCCGCCTTTACTACTTCCTTCGCCACTTCCTACTCCACAACCCTGTTTACCTCCCTTTCCATAGCATTTTTGGATTGCAGATACCTTGATCTACTCGTCATAAACAGTTCCCACACTCCGGACAGCTTGCTTTGACTACTTCCTTCACCACTTTCTACATCGTGGACCTGTTTTCCTCCCTTCTTACAGCATTTTATGATTGCAGATACCTTAATCTAATCGTCATAAACAGTTCCCACACTCCGGACTGCTCGCCTTGACTACTTCCTTCATCATTTCCTACGTCACGGACCCGTTTTCCTCCCTTCCCTTATAATTTTTAGAATGCAGATACCTAAATCTAATCGTCATAAACAGTTCCCACACTCCGGACTGCTCGCATTTACTACTTCCTTCACCACTTCCTACGTAGCAGACCTGTTTCCCTCCCTTCCCATAGCATCATAGGATTGCAATGCCTTAATCTAATGGTCATAAACAGTTCCCACACTCCCGACTGCTCACCTTTACTACTTCCTTCGCCACTTTTAACGCCACGGACCTGTTTCCCTCACTTTCCATAACATTTTATGATTGCAGATTCCTTAATCTAATCGTCATAAACAGTTCCCACACTCCGGACAGCTCGCCTTGACTACTTCCTTCATCACTTCCTACGTAGTGGACCCATTTTCCTCCCTTCCCATAGCATTTTATGATTGCAGATACCTAAATCTAATCGTCATAAACAGTTCCCACACTCCGGACTGCTCGCATTTACTACTTCCTTCACCACTTCCTACGTAGCAGACCTGTTTCCCTCCCTTCCCATAGCATCATAGGATTGCAATGCCTTAATCTAATGGTCATAAACAGTTCCCACACTCCCGACTGCTCACCTTTACTACTTCCTTCGCCACTTTTAACGCCACGGACCTGTTTCCCTCACTTTCCATAACATTTTATGATTGCAGATTCCTTAATCTAATCGTCATAAACAGTTCCCACACTCCGGACAGCTCGCCTTGACTACTTCCTTCATCACTTCCTACGTAGTGGACCCATTTTCCTCCCTTCCCATAGCATTTTATGATTGCAGATACCTTAATCTAATCGTCATAAACAGTTCCCACACTCCGGACTGCTCGCCTTTACTACTTCCTTCACCACTTCCTACGTCGCGGACCTGTTTCCCTCCCTTCCCATAGCATCATAGGATTGAAAATACCTTAATATAATGGTCATAAGCAGTTCCCACACTCCGGACAGCTCGCCTTGACTACTTCCTTCATCACTTCCTACGTCGCGGACCCGTTTTCCTCCCTTCCCTTATAGTTTTTAGAATGCAGATACCTAAATCTAATCGTCATAAACAGTTTCCACACTCCAGACTGCTCACCTTTAGTACTTCCTTCACCACTTCCTACGTCGCGGACCTGTTTTCCTCCCTTCCCATAGAATTTTAGGAATGCAGATACCTAAATCTAATCGTCATAAACAGTTTCCTACTCCAGACTGCTCACCTTTAGTACTTCCTTTAGCACTTCCTACGTCACGGACCTCAAGCTAGTGTCGTCATTTGATTATATTTATGATTCATACCGTTTCTGTTCTAATATCTGTGGAATAATGCTATCAGCTATTTCTTCATCTGCTGCATTCAAAAGTCAACAGCTGATCATATGTCTGTTTATGTGTCAAATACTGCTTCCATAAGGATTACATTGAAACTTTGAGACCCAGTGGGGCGGATTCCTGAGAGTAATTTTTAACGCCATATAGATGTTGGCACTCACCGATATGGTATTTATCACCATCCAAAATTTGAAAACGATTGATTCAGCCGTCTAGGAGGAGTTTGCGTATTACGAAATGCATAAAAGTCGACATATAAGAGCTTCGCTCGCTCCGCTCAAAGAAGTTAAACGGGGCAAAGCCTGCGTGTTACAGCTAGTTACTTTATTAAAATCAGGTTTGTATTACTGTATTCTGTTTTGTTTATTTCAGCTTAACTTAACCAATCAATAATTTGTTTAATACTTATAACGGGGTGACGCCCGTGGGTAACAGCTAGTTCAAACGTAACTCTTTATTTGACTCCCTCACGACGTGACAGGGAAAATATTTATATCATCCTTAACATCAGTGCACGCGCCGATTCAGATTCAGATTTTTGGTGCGTGGTTAATCTGAGTCAGATATTTCATTTCGATATTTTTTGGTTTGTGGTCACAGTGAGTGGAGTGGAGTGGAAGCAGGAAATATGCCGCCGCCCGCCGGTACTGACTCGCAGCAAGTCAGTCGTTGTTAAGGAATCGTCGGATGAGGAATTTACGTGTAAAATAATATTCTTTATTGCTTCAGACAATACAAAGATTGCATAGCATGCGTCAAAATATACAACATAACAGAAAAGGGCACAATAGAACAAAATAAACCATGAAAATACAACATAACAAAAATATACAGCCAGAGTGTTATTTATTTTGTGTTGTCATGGTAAAACCAACTTCGGCCAATGCGTGTTTATTCCCTAGTCCATGAACTCATTTACCGAGTAAAAACACGTTCAACACTAAGAAGCGTCTTAATTTTGCTTTCAATTTAGTTAAAATTATAGCGTCTGAAACTGTTGTGAAGTTACAGCTAGTGGAAAATGGTGTTAATTATATTATTTATCCCTTTTCCCATAGCTATAAATGATAGAGCTTCTTTCTATATTGCGTTGAATGGAGCTCGAAACCACCGAAACTTATTATTAAAATTGGACATAGTGTTTTTAGAAATTTGTGTAACCTACACAAACAGAAGAGCGTTTCCTGAAGAGCGTTTAGTGGTACCGGTAACCCTGAAAGTAAGGACGAAAAAAATAAATAGTTTAGTGGAAATAGTTATTTATTGTGCAACTAGTGAGAAAAGTGAGCAATTGACTCACTCGAGAGAAATCCTTACTCACGAGCCGTAGGCGAGTGAGGAATGGTTTCTTGAGTGAGGCAATTGTACTTTGAACTCGAGTTGCACATTATACTTTTCCTACAGTTACCATAAAACAAATAAATTGGTGAAGAAACATAACCTATTCTTACACAGAAGTGAACTTTTAATATAACATTTAATGTGAAGTGACAAATACAACAGTACAACAGCTGACCAGCTGAATTACAGCCAGTGCTGCCAACGTATTTCGCGTGCATACGACGTTGCCTGCATGTTACGGGCTCACTATTTCACGTGAGTATTCACGTTGCAAATCTGGAGTGAGACAAAGTAATTAGAGTGAGACAATGTTAACATTGTCTCACTGATGAACGAATTGGCCACTTTGCTTTCTGAAATCAGTGAGAGAACATGTACATTGTTAGGTAACTGTTGGAAAAATAAAATTTATCAAACTAAATAGTATGCGTACTAGCAAAATCTGTATCGGAATCTGAAACCAGAATGAAGAATTCATTCCGGTAAGCAGGTGCCTGCGCGCGGGTTCAGAAACCAAAAGCCACTAGTCCACTACGGCCACTTCCATTTGAATGCAAAGTGCCATTCATGCCGCCGAAAATCTGAATCTGAATCGGTGTGCACTCTGGACCTACCGTTAGGGTGGTCTTAACTCTTAAGTGCAGTGCTGTGCTGTGGGGGGAAGTGAGCGGGGAAAATTGCAGTGCCCACCGCTGAATTTTTATTTCAGCTGCAGTATTTTTAATACGGTCAAAATGAGAGCATTCTATTGGCTGAGGGAACACCATTACCGCAACGATACGGCTTGAAGCCATCGGCCTCGGTGGTCTAATGGATAAAGTGCTGGGCTGAGTAGTTATAGGTACCGGGTTCGAAACCTATCGGTGGCACTAACTTTCTATCTAAGATTTTTGCATCATCAGCAAGTAGTTTTATTTTATGAACAGAACTATTTTTTTGATAAGTAAATCTTCATTCAATTTTTTCATTATCAGCAAGTTTGGTTAGTTAGGTTAGGTTATAACATTTTAATTTTATTATTAAAAAATTAATTTTAAATTTTTTTAGTTTTATAATATATATTTTTTATTTCTAATTTTTAAACTCTCATTTTGTCCGTATTAAAAAACTGCAGTTGAAATAAAAATCGTGCTTCCCCACCAGCAACACTGTAAAATTCTCTAGATGTCATATCCTTTCCGTTGTTCCTCATTTTTTTTTAGACTTCTTCTTCTTCTTCCATTCCATGCAATATCCGGTTCTTTCTTGCTCCGCGTTGGAGAGTGTGGTTGTCGAACTTTTCATTAATTATTATTATTGAATTTCTAAAAACCTAAAATGGGTCGTATGCACGCACCAGGGTGAGTAGATTTTTACATTCTATCATCATTTTCCCTATTTACCGTAGTATTGTGCCTTTTTAGCTTTGTTTTTCAGGGAAACATTAACATAACCTGTTTCTCTTTTAGGTTACCTTTAATTTGATTTGACCTTATAATCATGCTTGTTTTGTTGTGATTGACAGCGTTAAAGTTTTGAGTCCTTTTACTGCCTGGATTAGAATTCAATACAGGTTTTGCAAATATATAAAATGATACTATATTTAGCTAGGGCTATTCCTTTAGTCGGGCTAGGCTTATAACTTAGCCAGGTCCCTATCCTATGTTCACAATTTGGTATAGGACTAACTAACTAACTATAACTAGGCTTTGGACTAAGGCCTATGCTGTATTTCTACCCTATGCCCTACCATGATGTACAGGTCTACCCTAAGTAAATTAAATGGGAGATAGTCCAAGAGTAGGCCTACAGTTTCTTAACCCTGGAGGAGGCGCTTCACCAGTAAAACAGGAGCAGGCGCATGCAGAGTTTTTTCCCGCAACATTAAATAGCCACCATTTTTGGTTAATAGGTAGGCCTAACATTATTCTTTTAACCCAATATGAGTAATAGGCCTATTTCAAATAAACACATTGAGCAGTTTTCTAGTTTAAAGGTGTTTTCTGTGGGTGTTACGAGAGAGGGTATGTTCAGAGTTTTGTTCTGCAATAAGTTAATGCAATGATGCAAATAAGTTAGGCTTACATGGAAACAAAATACATATGATAATTAAGTTATAAATGAAACAATACACTTAAACATGTTTATATTTTCGTATGTATTAAATATACACACTTTGACAAGAGCGCATGAGAAAATAAACTCTACGTTACGCGATAGGGCTTACGCGGAGAAAACCTCCATAAACTGACACCGCGTAACTGAATTGCAACTTGCAACTAAATTTGGAATTTAGGGGTTATAGCTTAGGGGCATTCCCGGGATTAGGTGTGTGAAGTATGGAGCCGGACATGACTGCCGACACCCACTACGGTACGCATAATTTACATTAACAAAAACTACAAGTGCAGAGGAAAACTCCACAAGCGCCCGCTCAGTCTTAACTGGGCTAATGTATGCAATTATCGATTGAAACTATCGGTTCGATTAGTAACTTAAACCTTTAGGGTTCAATATCAGCAAGTTTGGTAAGTTAGGTAAGGTTATGACAGTGTCATTTTATAATTGGTATACGATAGGCCTATGTTAGTTTAAAGGTAATTGATTATTAATCAAAATTTTCAATTTGATAGTTTCAATTGATAATTAGCATACTTAGCCCAGTTAAGAAACAATACCCGTTAAGTAGTCGTGCAACTAGGCCAACTTTCCATTTCTGGAAACATGTTAAATGAGGATATTGTCATCTTTTTTTGCAGTAACCGCCTTTAAGTAGGCCTAATACTTTCAGCCCTTCACTCTACGCCTGGGCCTATAAGTTAACAATCATAATAACTTAAGTTTACTAAACTTACCTTCTGTTGTTAATCCTAGGCCGAGTCTTAACTTACCAAACTTGCTGATGATGAAAAAAATTAAAGCGGTTTAATTCTGTTCATAAAATTAAATTATAAATGCCTCAAATTCTAACAAAAGATGTACAGTTAGAAGAAATCATATTTTAAGCAAAACCTTTGACAAAAAGTAACTAGTGTTGTCAAACCGATGGGATTTGACGAACACTGACGGCTGCTTTTTTTATCGTCATCGTGATGGTGCTCTGGGTCCCCACAACCCGGTGACGTCACTGCCGAACAGCTATTCCATGTCCTATTACCGGATGCGTATCCTCTGAGTTAATTTTAGGCCACGTGCTTCATTAAATTTTTATAGGCTTAGGTAGGTATCGTCTTACACATCATTTAAGTTGGGCCTAGGCTACTTTACATTTAACTGTACTCACGAACATGCGTCGGCATTGTGTTAAACAATGAATGTGACTGGCCATAACGGTTTTGTGTTGTAGGTAGCCTAAGTAAGTTTGCCTAGGCCTTTTTGTACATTGGCAAGGTCAATGTTTTCAATAATTTGGTAACTAACCTCCAGTTAACGCTCTAATGGTTATTATTTTATTTTCTAAATGTTCGTTTTCTAATGCTAATTGCATAGATGATTGTCATGTTTTGCGGAAAAGCACGGTTTTACTGGAAAACAGTTTTTGTGAAGATATCAAAAAGTTTTGTAGGTAGGCCTTCTCAAATTGTGCAGAACTTCATGTCAAATTCAACAGTTTATTTTACATAGTTTAATTTTACTCTAAAACAGCTTTTAGTGTTTAGGGTTGTCAACCTCCTCTATAAGTAAACCACCTTTTGTATGCCAGATTTGTCCAAGGTTTTTACTGCTACGGTTAATGAGATTTTTCTTTTCAGGAAGGGTATATCCCAATCTGCTCTTCCCTATCGAAGAAGTGTCCCAACATGGTTGAAGCTTTCACCAGAAGATGTGAAGGATCATATCTTCAAGCTGGCTAAGAAGGGTCTGACTCCATCACAGATTGGTAAGGGACCTTTTTAAAAACTATTTTGATAACGTTAAGTGTTAAGCAGTGAAATACAGTAGAACCTCTTTAATCCGAACTAATTGGGACCGGGGGTAGTTCGGACTATTGAATAGTTCGGATTACAGTTAACATATTGCTGTTTTTACATAACACTTGCTAGGGAAAAGTGAAAAATGCTATATAAAGTAAAATACAGTGTTTATTTAATACAGTAGCAAACATAGGGAATAAACATTGTGGTAGGCCTACATTACAATAGAAACAATTACGGTGTGTATACCAATAAATACAGTATCCAATGAAGAACTACTGTTCTGTGTATAGAGAACAGCAATGAGGGGTTCAGATTACGGGGGTTCGCATTAAAGAGGTTCTACTGTAAGGTAAGACAGAAGTTTCCCTTTCAGTTAGGCCTATTTTAATTAGGCTTAGAGCAATTACACCATTAAACTCTGTCATTTTAGATTAAAATCATTGAAATGTTCCACTGTTTTTTTAATTTAAGTCTTCTGCAAAAACTCTAGAAATTTTTCTTTTCCATAAACTCTACCTAAAATTACAGAATTTTTTTTTGGGTCAGTCCATATCAAATCAATACAGTAGGCCTATACACTTTTAATATTTGTTTGCCTTGCCATCTTAGATTTTGGTGAAATTTTGTAGGTACCGGTACATAACTTCTAGGTTACCTTTATGAAGACTACAAAAAATACCAAATTTCAGCTCAATATCTCAAACAGTTCCCAAAATACGGCCATTTAAAGTTTTAAAACAATGGTAAAAATAACGCTGCGGTAAAACTTTTAAATAGCCATAACTCTTCTATTTAAAAAACAGACAAGGGGAAATTTAGAAATATGAGAAAGGTGTCATTATTTAGCTCTTGTCATGCCCTTTCTAATGATATACAGATTCAGAGCTTTCTCCTGATGTCTGTTTCTATACGCTTTTCATTTTAGTTCCGAAAATATTGTAGCAGACAGCTGACGTGTGTATTTGTAAACAGCTTGGTTAACCTCGCACCGATGACTGATGTGTTTTATTACGTTTATCATTGTTTTATTGTTAAAAATCAAAAGTAGTGATATACCTACGTGGTGCATTATAAGAAGATTTAAGTGATTTTGAAGGGCTGGTTGATGATCCTAAAGAAGTAGGTAGTGATATTGATATAAATTATCAGCCAGATTTCTAGCTATGGTTAGGCTATGCATTCTTAGCCAAACGCTATGTACCGAAATCTGTTTTTGCCCATAATTTATTTATTTGCAAATCTACTTCCTTATATTATTATATTTTTGGAACCCTCATAAAATTCTGAACAAAGTGGCTATTTTAAAATATTTGTAGACCTATAAATTATAACAATTTATTGAGCGCAAACATAATTTTTTTTCATTTATTTTATAATTTTTGAGAAATGTTAACCCCACAAAAATTGTTGAAAATTTCTTTTGTAATGTTTTATATGTTACATTGAATCTCATAATTTTCCAAACAAAATGATATACTATAAAACAGTAATACTTTTTACATTGTTTTTAAGTTTCTAAGATACATGTAATAAAACCCTGCGATTGCGTAATAAATAGGCGAATATTAAGACCAAAACTAGAGACACTTGGAGGGTTAAGTAATGGTTTTCCTGCAGGTGTCATCTTGAGGGATATGCATGGAGTGGCCCAGGTGAGGTTCGTCACTGGCAACCAGATCCTGAGAATAATGAAGGCCATGGGTCTGGCTCCCGACCTCCCCGAGGATCTGTACTACCTCATCAAGAAGGCGGTGGCTATCAGGAAACACCTTGAGAGGAACAGGTTGGTTAAGTAGTGGAGGGAAAAAACTTATCATCACTTAGTACCAAAAGTACTGTAGCTATTTAAAAAAAAACACTGATATCAAAGAAGGTTGTTGTTTCCCAAGCTCTAATTTAGAATGAGGGAAAAATGATGTTCTCGATTAGTTCTCCAATTTACCCACAGCACAGTCTACCTGTCGGGAAAAGTTTGTGATTTTGAAATGTCAGGAAAAGTCTTTAAAAAGTAATGGATTCCGGCTTTGAAGGTCTAGGATAGTCTAACCCTTTAAAATTAGTGATGAACAGGTTCCAAAACTTAGAAACATTTTTGGGATCGTGTATTCCGATCATGGCACGATGTTACATTTGATACAGGATTTTCTCGGCAAGTGATGCATTCCGATCGTCAGCGATTTCACCGCGTCCCAAGTGACGAGTATGACGAATGACGACTAAACAATAATCCGTCCAAGTTCTAACTAATCCAATACAATATCCAAACTAATAAATGTTCCATGTCCGGGACATGTTGACGATGGTGCCATAACCGCGACATATGTAGACGGTGGTGCCGTTACCGCAAGACGAAAAAGGTGATACAACACGAAAAAATACTTGACTTGGTCGGGATTTTTTTTCAATGGTAGGCCTGATGAAAAGTCCGGAATTTCATCTGAGAAAACTGGTACCTAGACATCCTGACCCACTACGCACACTAGTGTTTTGTTACGGTTTATTTCAATGATTTAAATAAGCTTTTTTTCTATGTTGCGCAATCTAGTTAAATATAGAAACATGCATAAGCTTGTTTTGCTGTGCTTGTAGCATAGTGTGTGTTTGAAATTGCTCAGAATATGCCTGGGTCAATCCATTTCAAGTGGTCCAGAGGTGGTTGCTTCAAGATTTTTAATTTTTTTCATATTTTTATCCTTGAAAGTATATATTGTTAGAGGTACAAAAATACAATTTTTTTATTTTATTTTTCTACTGTATGGCGGCCATTTTTTTGTTACTCGAACGGCTGTTTTCAGCGATTTCAGAGCTCTGCGTAAAATTTAATATCTCTGGTTCTACTAATCCTAGAACATTAAAATAAAAACCAATCTCTTCAGAAAGATCTGAACTTTAATATGGTAATATATTGATGCACTTAAAACTAAATATATAGGTCTAATTACCTGTTTAAAGTTTAACGCAACGATGTTACGAATACTGATTTTAAACAATTAATTTTTATATAAAGGCAATTGATTATGTGTTTGTTATTTTTTTATCTGATAGTTATAGGTGTGTACTCCAAATTCTCAAAGTTTCAAGTTGTGGACTTGCATAGGGTTTTAAATAAAAATTTTCAAAATCTTAAAATTTTCAAAATTTCAAAAGTTTGATGCTTAATATCTTTGTTGGGCATGAAAATAAAAATTTCAAATTTGGCTCAGATATAGTACTAACTAAGTAAGAGTATTATGCTGTAATAATTTTATTTTGTGGACTAAACTGGTTTCAAAGTTATGAAACATTGAAAAGTACTAAATAAGCATTATAGTCGTAATAGCGTAGGAAGCATAATGTTATATTATAACTCACTATCAATGTATTTTTTAACACTGTTATATTTTAATCATATATTTTAAGCATTTTGATGTTTTAAAATACTCTTTGTTGTCTGCCACAGGTACAAATATGTGAAAGGATTGTCTTCAGGGAATTGGTAGACGTCCTTTAAGTCGAAATTGAAGTTCTAATTTAATTTTTTTGCTAATTCTTTGCTGTCGTCTACATAAAATTTTTGAATTCCTTTAAGAGTTTGTTTTAACAAAAGTTAAACATATCCTTATTCCTTAGCATTCAAAATTTGGTTGTCTATGGTACATTTTTGACTCTATTAGTGACATCGCTCTTTGTAGTGCCTCCTACACCATCGGAAAATATTGACTCCACTTTAAATGTATAGAAATGAATTTTATATTAATATTGTTTTGGTTTTCAATTCTATGTGTTTTATTTACAATCCTTTTTGTTTATGTTCATAAATCTAAATTTGAATTATAATACATGTTATCTTTTACATGTCTTATACATATCTTATACATGTCTGACATGTTATCTTGTCTGGCACTAAACAACCCTACTTGCGACGTTGCAAACTCTACACGGCCTGGAGTTAAAGGTGGCTGGTGGCTGTGGCTATACAGTATAATAAAATGATTTCTTACAGAAATATTCACAGGTACTACAATACCAGCTGCGAGGCATTTTTTGCTACTGCGCAAGGAAAAAATTCCTGCAATGGTGTAGGAGGCACTACCAAGAGCAAAGTCACTAATAGAGTCTACAATGTACCATAGACAACCAAATTTTGAATGATAAGGATATGTTTAACTTTTGTTAAAACAAACCCTTAAAGGTATTCAATACTTTAATGTAGACAGCAAAGAATTAGCAAAAAAATTAAATTTGAACTTCAATTTCGACTCAATGGACGTCTACCAATTCCCTGAACACAATCCTCTCACAGATTTGAACCTGTGGTAGAAAACAGAAGAGCTCAAAATGCTTAAAATATATGATTAAAATATAACAGTGTTAAAAAATACATTGATAGTGAGTTATAATATAACATTATGCTTCCTACGCTATTACGACTATAATGCTTATTTAGTACTTTTCAATGTTTCATAACGTTGAAACCAGTTTAGTCCACAAAATAAAATTATTACAGCATAATACTCTTACTTAGTACTATATCTGAGCCAAATTTGAAATTTTTATTTTCATGCCCAACAAAGATATTAAGCATCAAACTTTTGAAATTTTGAAAATTTTAAGATTTTGAAAATTTTTATTTAAAACCCTATGCAAGTCCACAACTTGAAACTTTGAGAATTTGGAGTACACACCTATAACTATCAGATAAAAAAATAACAAACACATAATCAATTGCCTTTATATAAAAATTAATTGTTTAAAATCAGTATTTGTAACATTGTTGCGTTAAACTTTAAACAGGTAATTAGACCTTTATATTTAGTTTTAAGTGCATCAATATATTACCATATTAAAGTTAAGATCTTTCTGAAGAGATTGGTTTTTATTTTAATGTTCTAGGATTAGTAGAACCAGAGATATTAAATTTTACGCAGAGCTCTGAAATCGCTGAAAACAGCCGTTCGAGTAACAAAAAAATGGCCGCCATACAGTAGAAAAATAAAATAAAAAAATTGTATTTTTGTACCTCTAATAATATATACTTTCAAGGATAAAAATATGAAAAAAATTAAAAATCTTGAAGCAACCAATTAATTTATTTCTGGATCACTTGATATGGATTGACCCGCCTAACATTCCTGATGATTCAGTGAAAAAAACTTCAGAGATGACTATTAACACAGTTACAATTAATGTTTCCATCAGTGTTGCCATACCTCATTTGGGAACATGTTAAGCTACTGTAATAATATTATGTTTTGGTCGGTTGGCCGACAAGTATCATCTGTTTGTTTGCAGTAGTCAACACAGGTTTTGTTTGACCTTGTAAAATATATTTTTGGGTTTCAGAAAATGTTTAGGCCAAAAGATTTAAGTCTACAATGGTTTAATTTCACTCTCCTTTAAGGCTAGGGCCACACTTGGCGACTTTTTTCACGCGACTTTGTCGCGACGACAAAGTCGCTGGGGGTGGCCACAATACGCGACAATTTTAACCTTTCAGTTTACTTTTTTACCATACCAGTAAATAGGTAAATTTCGAGATGTTGTATTGTATTTTCAAAATCGTGTCATTGATTATGGAAATAAATAAGGGTCTATGGCAGTTTTTGTATGTTTTTGGACGATCTTAGAATACATCGATGTTTTTTACTATTATTTGCAGTATCATACAATTTAAGCGAATCTTTTACAAATTGAATCATATAGTTAGAGTATTTTCATACGTGCACCGATGCCTCTTTATTTTTCGTACTAGGTCACGTAACAGCTTTTAACCATTTACCTGCACCAAAAGAAATACAATTTTTACTAAATAAAAGTGTTAAATTATGTTTTTAAAACCAATGTGGACGTCTAAATTGTTAGATCACAGTTTAATGATTGCTGTTGCTATTTATTGTATATCTAAATACCCTTTCCGCAAAAAAACTGCAGACTAAGCGAATTTACATTTGTGTGGCTAGATTTCCACTAAAATATTCACTTAAACTTGTAGGATTTATTTCCAATTTAAATAAGATGAATTTCAATTTATGCTTAGGTTTTCTGGTACAGATAAGGTATCCTAATGACGTGTACTTGTTAGTTAAAATTTTGCTTAGTATGAAATTAACAATATTGCCAAATTCTATTAAAATATATCCATAAACAAGCAAACTACAACAGTTTATTCTCCATAAAAACGGGCATTATAAATTTACAATTGTTTAAATTATCTCTGTAACCGTTAGGCTTACAACAACGTTATTTTTCTAGCTAACAAAACAGTTTGGAAGGGAATTGTGAAATTTATGTTTTTGGGTCAAAAATAAGAAAACCCCAATTTTATACCCCATTGAAGCCCCTTAAACCCCCATTCTCATGGTCTGATCATTCTGATTTGTGAGCTCGTTTGAATTAACGTTGGTTTAAACATTTCATTAAAATCTCATCTTTTTTGCTCAAGTTATTGCGCTAATGGGCACATAGATCTATATAAACATAAAATACACTGCATATGTATATGTATATAGATATGTATGAGTGAAAATTTAAAAACGTACGTTTTCAGGAAAAGCACTTTGCAAATTCTTTTCCCCTTTTTTCAAAACTTTTATTATTTTTTTTATTTCATTAACATTTGAAGTTTCATAAAATGTCCATGGTAACGCAATATCTTTGGTAGTTTCTTTTTAAAAGAGCATCTTTAGTTGAAAAACACAAAATCCTGCCACGACCATAACGGACGTTTAAATGAATATTAAAAATAGTTAATATTATTTTTATAACTATGTTTTGCTATAAACTAATTTACTTTTATGACCATTATACAATAAAAAGGTCACTGAGCTTTTGGTAAATTTAGTCTTTCTAGAAAAAAATAAAAAAACTCAAAAAATTGAAAAAAAGCCAATAAAATCTTTTTAAGTTTGTATAACTCCGAAGAAACTTACCTGAGACCCGAAAAATCGTTATGTTTGTATAGAGGTGTGCTTCTTTTGTGTATAAAACATTGAAATATGACGATATATTTATTTTTGAAATTTTTATGATAGAAATCATAAACGTGATGGTCAGGGACAAGCGGTACGGTCGTGAATTGTCTGGAATAATCTAAATCTTTCCAAACAATCCTTCAATTATCCTGTTAGTTATAATACAAATATGTGTTTCAATTGAACTAAACCGTTCAATTTACAATTATTTTCAATTTTTAACACCATGTCTACTTCATCGAATGACTACGTATGGTCATGGACACACCAAAATTACAAAAACACAATCTTTCCTTTATTAATCTTGTAATTCCTCCTTTCAACTCGAAACGACCGGCACTACAATCCTGACGTACACCCCGAACTAGTCTCTAAAACCAACTGACTCCATCGACGCCAGGCTTGCCACTGTCGTGCTCCAAAGTTGAAAATTGTTCCCAAATGGTCGTGACGCCAAATTGAGGGACAGATTTATTTTGTCATGGTAGTCAGTTTGTAATGACAATAAAATTATAATATGCTCCTTTTTTGTAAGTTTAATAACCATTGATGACATAAAAATATGGCTTTATATATTTCGGCATGAATAATTAGTCTAAAAACAGTGTGAAAGTTGGAAAATGTACCCTAGGGACACGTCATGGTCGTGAATTTCGAGACTTTAAAAATACGAAAAAAATACCTAGAACCTATTTAAAACCAAATAAATGTGTGTAACATGTTGCCCCCGTCCCAAAAAATATTAAAACACATAATAATAAACTAAAAATCCAGTATCTACGAAGTAAAAGGCCAGGGACATGAAAACGTACGTTTTTAAATTTTCACTCGTATATGTATAGAATTTTAACATAAAGATATATAAACATTTAGATCTATATAAACATAAAATACACTGCATATAATGTATATAGATATAGATATGTATATATATAGAATTTTAATGGAGGGTGTTTTTGCGACTGGGGACAAAAAATTAAGTCGGTTCCAGGTTTAGGTCCTACCATGCAACTTAAGGTAATAGCTTAATCCCTATGGAAAATTCGCTAAAAGGAAGAGAAACCACAGGTATGGAGTGAATTCCCTGAAACAGCATTGTTTATGGATGGCGTATTTTAATATTGTAAATTTTTTGTAGTATTTTTTGATGAGCATAGCTTTGGCGAGCTGATGACATTGAAGACGACGCACGGCATTTGAAAAATATACGAGGTTTTGTATTCCTGTTATAACAGAAGAGTTAAGTGTCATATATGGTATAGTACACATGTTAACAAAAAGCATATTTTCCATATTTAACAATTGCCAGTCCAAAACTAAACAATGTATGTAGATATGAAAATAGAACAGCAAAGGGTGTGTAAACGAGCGACTTGTCACTTTGTATGGCCGGTGCCATAAGATAGTATGGGAAGCGTATTTGTCGCCGCAACCAAAAAAACGCTCCCGGTCGCGTTTATTTTTCTGTCGCCGCTGGTCGCGAGTCGCTTAGTGTGGCCGCCTCCATTTAATTTAATGCTACACACTCTTTGATTCATTGACACTCCCAAGTGTGGCCCTAGCCTAAAACTTACTTGAAAAAATAATGAGTACAGAATATTTTTTACAACATTTATTACTAATATGAATGGTTTTTTAGTGGCATTTAACCTGAAATTAACTTGCTGATTATTATTTCCTCATAAGGGCTCTTTGGAATCAAGCATGTCCTAATCTTATTAAACAAATGAAGTCCTGATTTCATTTTTCGGTGACAAAGTATGTTTTATTTTATAAAATAACTTGCTAAATTTGTGTTAATAATAATGCTTGAAAAAAATGCAGTAAATAGACTTAACAATCAGAACAGCATTTAAGTCAGAAGTTTTTAATTAAATTACCTCCAGTATCCAATTACCTCACTTATAGTAATAAAGTGGGGGCCACTGGTTATTGTTTTCAGTATACAATACCAACATATTATTTTTATTTGATAATTTATCAAAAAATAATTCCTAAATTAATGTTGACAGGAAAGACAAGGACTCCAAGTTCCGACTTATCCTGGTAGAGTCAAGAATCCACAGACTGGCCCGTTACTACAAGACCAAGTCAGTGCTCGCTCCCAACTGGAAGTACGAGTCTAGCACAGCTTCTGCACTCGTCGCGTAAACTATGGTTTTATTGGTTATAAGTTTTCAATAAAATAACTTCCACAATTTGCTGTATATTCAATCTTTCCACCTCAATTGGAGAATGTCTGGAATGGCCTGGCCCTGGACATGTTTCACTAAAATTCTTAATGAGGGATATGTGACAAAAATTTGTTGTATGATGGAATATAATTTTTTAAGTCATTACTCATTGTGTTTGTGGAGTGTAGTAAATTCATTAAAAACCAATGTCCTATGATATGTACTAGTTTAACTACAACTTGCAGACTAAGCGATTTTGCCTGTGGATTTTCAATGAAATCTATTTAGATAACATTCTGGGTTTAACAAGTACCTAGGTTTGCTTGCTGCTCCAGGGACGAATGTTTTCTCGTAAAATAATAGCTTTTAAAAAGAAACTATAACAGTTTACTTATTATTCATAAGAATAACATGAGAATTTTAAATTCAATTGCTATGAAAAAAAACACTTTCTACTGCAGCAAAACATGTTTTTAATGTAATGCATGCATTGCCGGTCTAAAGTAGCATTTTAACTCTCTAGGGAGTAAAAATTGTTTTTAGACCTTAGGGAGTAAAAATCACCTGTTGTAAAAATCAACTCAGTTGTAAATTTCAATTGTAAACAATTGTGTGTATCGAAATTATGTATAAATTGTTTAATAATCAATTGTAGCTGATTGTTGCCTTGTTGTAAATATTTCAACATATCGATAGTAGATATAATGAACACCAACACAACCGTAATAGATTAAACGATTGAATCAATTACTAAACATGTGCTAGCTTCCATTAGCAAATTAAATTAGTGATGTGCGTATCGATACAAGGACCTCAAAATATCGATATTTTGTATCGATATGTGGGAGTGTATCGATATGCCCGTATCGATACACCTATAGCCAATATCGTAGTCTTCCCATCTTCCTCCCCTCAAAAGTAGTAGTGGAAATTTGATATTTTACCCTAGCATCTTCAAAAACACTGATAAAACATGTATTTTCAGCTATGTTTTGCAAAGCACGGCCGCCTTTAACTCCAGGCCGCGGCCTTCGAATTGGCAACGTCGCAAATGGTGTTGTAACAGCTGTTTTTGTTTGGAAGTAGCTAATGGTATTTGTGTATTCACGAAAGATTGATTACTAGACTATGACAATATTGACTCCGCTTAAAAATGTACAGATATAGATTTTAATTCATATTGTTTCGGGTTTCAATTCTGTATGTTTTATTTTCAATATTTTAATAAATTTATGTTCATAAATTTAAATTTAAATCATTAAAGTGTGAATTAATGAGCTGATGTCACCTGTCTGCCATGTTATCTTATGGGACGTCTGTCACTGAACAACATACCACTTGCGATGTTGTCAATTCTACCAGGCCGCGGCCTGTAGTTAAAGGCGGCCGTGACTAGGGCCACCATTAATGGAAGTGGGGACCCTCATTATCCATATTATACTATTTAATGTGTAAGTGGCATACCCACCATCATTATTAGTACTTTTTGGTTCAATTAATTATCCCTGTGTAAAAACTAAGAAAACAATAACAAAATGTTTTCCAATTTTGAAAGTTTACCGGAATTTGGAGGTTATGTATGTATGTTTGATACAAATAAAAAGACACAGGAAGGAAACGGCTTTTCTGAGGTAAGATTACAAGCACTAACCCTCTTTTCAAGCTTGTAAGTAACATAGTATTTGTCTATGCAGCTTGAATATTTGAGATATTTAAATGTTTAAAAAAATTATAAATAAACAATACGATACGATATTTATCTGATACAGATAAAAATCTATACATGAGGATACGATATGATACACGTATCGATACACCACGTTCCAATACGAATCGATACACAGTATCGATACATTGACCCGTATCGCTCATCACTAAATTAAATTGAAAACAAACTGGAAGTAGTTTTGTAAATGAAAATAAAATCAGTTTTGTAACATAGTTTGTTCAAATAATGGTTCAATCCAAAAATATAGTTCATCACTTGGCCAAAAACTGTCTTTTCATCGCTCAATTTTCGACCTCGGCTTTGCCTCGATTGTAAAACTTGAGCTCGGGTTGAAAAGAGTCACTTTAGGCCCAGTGATGAAATAAACTATAATGTACTATATTTTTGTTTTTTAAGCTATTTTGGTTTAAAGAGGAATTCAGAAATTTGATTTTGAGGGTCTAAAATGTGAAAAATTTATTTTTACCCCATAAAACCCTGTTCCCATGGTCCAATCAATCATGCTGGTTCGCGAACTCATTCAAGTTTATGCCGCTCTACATCTTAGAGCCGAATTTAATCACGATCCGACAAAAATTACTCAAGTTGTTCATGGACGTACATAAATATATATACAGGGTTGGGAAAAAGTAAAGTATGGACACCCCCTCTTAACCTTTTTAATGGGTTACAATTTTTAGTTGGATAGTAGTTTTTTCAAGTAAGCTAGCTAAAATCAATACCTATATCTTAAACAAAATCTTTGAAGAGAGAAGAAATGGCGTATGGTTGCCAGTCGCAATCCTATCCCAAACTCCAATGCCAGCAAAGACTGCTTGTCTGTCTGTAATATATCTCATAAGCCAGTGGAAGTATTTTGAATAATGTTGGAATTAGGGACTTATAGCCTCATAAACGTGATTGACATAATTCCCCTACCTGAGAGAAAATTGGTACAAAATAACAAGTAAATACCCCCGCCGCAGCAAACCTGCCGACTAAGCGAATTTCCATTTGTCTGAATTGGTTTTCAGTTAAATATATTTTAATAACATTAGGTTTAACGAGTACCTAGGTTTGCTGCTACAAAGAAACTAATAAAGTGTGTTTTTGAGTAAAATATTGATAGCTTAGTACAAAATAAATAAATTTGCCAAGTTTGATCTACATATATCCATAAACAAGCAAACTACAACATTTGACAATATTCTCCATAAGAATAACATGGGAATTTTAAATTTAAATTTTTTTTAATCTTCTCCGTTACTAATAATCGAACAAAAATACTTCTGTATACTAAACTATTTGTTTTTTTAAGTTCTTTAAAAAGGTCTAAAGAGAAATCGGGAAATGTTGTGTTTTGAGGGTCAAAAGTGAGAAAAACCTATTTTTACCCCATAAACCCCCCCCGTAAAGCCCCGTTCCCATGGTCCGATCGTGCTGGTTCGCGAACTCATTCAAGTTTATCCCGATTTACACCTTTAAACCAAATTTCATCAAAATCGGACAAAAATTACTCAAGTTATCGCGTTTACGGACGTATATACAGTGTGATCGAAAAGTCCCGGAACGGTTTAATATTTAAAAAAATAATGCAGATAGAGCTAAAATACTTGGTACAAAGTTACAGGGCATAAAACTCTATTTTAACTCATATTCAGTGATCCAATAATTCTTCAGGGGGACGGCTCACAAGGAGTCGGAAGAAAATCTTAAATGGAAGCATAGGTCAATATGCACATCAAATTAAAGGTCTTTGTTAGTAGAATACAATGCCGCAAACCGCACTTCAAAAGGTTGATCTTTGCGCAAAATGGCAGATGTTAAAAGATTTCTTGAATCCGCCATTTTGAATCTTTGAACGACTGCCATTTTTTACTCAGGCATTCTTTTGAGCTTGATTTTACGGCATCGTAATCTTAAAGTGAAAACCTTTAATTTGATGTGCATATCGACCTATTCTTACGTTAACAATTTTCTTCCGATTCCTAGGGCTCCAATAACCTAGACGATGGAAAGTAACATCATGTGTTCCCTGAGGAGAAAGAGTATAATAGCAATGTAAATTAAATGAATCTTTGAACAACTGTCATTTTGCGCAGGATCAACTTTTTGAAGTGCGGTTTGCGGCATTGTATTCTACAAAAAAAGACCTTTAATTTGATGTGCATATTGACCTATGCTTCTATTTAAGATTTTCTTCTGACTCCTTGTGGGACGTCCCCCTGAAGAGTTATTGAATCACTGAATATGTGTTAAAATAGAGTTTTATGCCCTGTAACTTTGTACCAAGTATTTTAGCTCTATCTGCATTATTTTTTAAAATATTAAACCGTTCCGGGACTTTTCAATCACACTGTATATATATATATATATATATAAAAATTTTAAGGAATGGTGTTTTTGGCCTCTGGGGACATCAAAATGAAAAAGTAAATCGGTCCCGGGTCTAGGTCTTACCGTGCCACCTACGGTAATAGCTACTTCCCTATAGAGAAATACGCTAAAAGTAAACAAAAGACTTGTAACATATGTTAATATCATGCCATCCACAGTATACTAGCAAATGTGATAAACATCAGTTGTAATTCCAGAGAACCTACATATTGCCAAACATACTCTCTCCCATCCTTACTAGCTGAAGCCAATTTTATCGTTTTGTCCGGTGCACTGTTAAATCTAAGATACCAGTGATGGTTTTCGTTCATTGAAATGGCGACCATACGAATGTAGGTATTTTAAGCCAAGTATGAATGGAGATTAGTGGAGCGATCTTGTAGTTTTGTTAGTGACTAAGGCCGACATATTCCTTAGACACAGCTGTATATATAGCCCATACAGCTAATGGCAACTGAAGATGTAGTGTTTTGTTTACAATTTGTATCTTGTTGTTTCAGTAATTTAAAACCCCGTTTAGTTAAATAAAACGACATAATCATGAACAATAACTCATCTTCAAGGTTTATAGCCAAACAGTAAAGGACAAATCATTAAAATAAACCCTCAAATAATAGAAACAAAATTTTGTTGCCACTAGCCACCAATTTCCACCGGACATGAACTAGACACAAAAAACGGCTTCAAAATTCATAATGGGATGGGAAGTTTACTCAGGATGTCTACAGAAAATTAATTTCCATGACCATTTACCATTGATTTCCATGACTCACTTTACATAAAAATTATAATAGCCTATAACATACACACACAAATAATACTGCCTAGACAAGTTATTTTGCAGAAAATACAGAAATATGCGTATCAACAGATAACAATGGAGTACAATAGGTACCACAATGAACTAATACAAACTCATAAGCTAATACAACAGTAATAAATTGAATTCTTGAACATTTGTAAAAAATCCTGAAAAATGCTTCAGTAGTCGGGGTTACGGCCGACTAGAGCATTGAATGGTCCCTCAAATCCATCCATCATTGGGGATTTCCATGACTTTCAATGACCAGGATTTTATTCCACGACTATCCCTGACTTTCCAGAACACACCCTACTACTTTGTTGGTTAAGCAACCTGTATTTTTCTGTTAACATGGTGAGTGTTCCCACACTGAAAAATTTACGACTACACCACTAGTTTTAACTATTGAGCAAAGATCACACTGAATATGACTCGAAATAGGGAAAATAGGGCCAAGTCAGTGTTGATGAGTGGCGAGTGTTGGTGCCGTTAGAGTGCACTGGCGTAAACTCAATGTTATACTCTTATTACGGCAGATTTTAAAAATTTTATGCACTCTTTTATAAGTGTACACATAATTTGGACAGCTGTATTCATAATAAATTTAAATTATACTAGAACTTAAATATTAATAGCCAAAATTAGTTGTATAAAAAGTTAGTTTCCTTTATATTGCTCAACAATCGATATAAAATATAGCCTAATCTCACAGACCTATTTAGGGGTAAAATGACAAGGTAAAAACCATCACTCCAAGGTAGGATATCGCACCACTTTAATGTGAAATACAAGTTTCGAGTAAATGTATTCCTACCTGGGCACTAACAACAGTTTACAGAAAAATATAATCAGTCTCTTATAAAACCAATGTTAACATCTCGACAGCATATCAGAGTAGTCTAACACAACTAAAGGCAATGACACCTCCATTATATGTCACATTTTTAATATCTGTTAGTTATTTCAATAAATACAAATATTAATATTGTATTGTTTTATGTTATCCAGGATCATAAGCTATATAAAATTTTAGACTTTCTACATTTTTTATTCCTCACTTAAATTTATGACAATTGTGGGAGAGTTATAACAATACAAACTCTTAAGAGTTGAGGACCCTGTGCGCCGCACACATTCAACATCGCATTCATTTGCCTAATTGTTATTTTTACCGTCACACCTTCACATCTAGGATGTAGACTCTAGCATGGAACCGTTTCACACATTAATTCAGTGTAAGCCTAGAGGGTCACGGCATTACCACTTACATAAAATCTATTGGTGATTGGTAGCTCTACTGCTAGACCAGCTCGCTTTCAATTGCCTACAAATATAGTTATTAGTTACCTGTCCTGGTCTAGTCTGACAGTGACAGTTAATGGAGGTAGTTATAATCAATCTATTCAGAAAAAGGAAATCCTTTATTTAGTCAGCAGTGGAGTAAATATTCTCTCTATTAATTCTTCCCAAGATATTCTAAATAGTATTTTTAAATGGTCTTACTAATATGTGAAGGAAAACATTTTAAGGAATAACAAGCCGATTATACTCATAACAAAATACAGTGGTACACTTTTAAAGCGTATGATTTAAAACTTGTCGATTAAGGTATTTAATTTATCCATTTTGATAGTATTAAAATTCACTAAAATAAACTACTAATTTAACTTATTAGTTATTACATTTATCTAATCTTGGATTGGTTTGGATAAGTTTATTGTTTGATTTTGCCTGCAGATTTTGTAATCTACATTTTACATACAATGAATCTTAAATAAAAACATCAGTATAAAAACAACGAGTTAACATTATGTTTATTAACAAGGAATAAATTACTCATTACATAAAACTCTCCACAGCTAAATTATGTTGGTAATTTCATTGAATGTATCTTTAAATATCGACTATAAGATCAAATAAATAATACACATAATAAATATTGATTATTAAAACACATGCAATAAAAGCTGAGTGGCGTTAACTTTTTAATTGATTGAACCTTACTTTTGAAACACCAATTTCTTACAACAATTTGGAATACCATTGAAATAACATTTGAAACCATCAACAAAAACAAATTTCAAACCTTATAATGGAAAAATAACGTTGTCTGGTTAAATTTACACCTTGGCATATTGTGTGTAAACCTAATTTCATTCTTAATAACTTTATAAGGCACAAATCACATGTGCCTATATCAAACCTGTGACTGAATTTTACTAAAACAACAAAATTGTAATTGTCAATAGAGTAAAAAACGTTATCATAAAATATATACAGAAAGACGAAATGGCTTTACAAGCATTTCAAAAGCTTACCAACATTGGAGTAAATTATTTCAAGTGAAAAATAATATACCAAAACATGTTAAGCTTGATTAAATTTTACATCACAGTAAGTCTAGTGGATATAAGCGAACTATCCGCTGAGTGCTGCGTTGAGTGCAAGCTGTTGTTCGGGAGTCAGCTGTGTGGCACAGTATTGGAACATCTCACTGTTTCCCTGAAACATTATGACCATGTTAAATACAACATCAAGATATCTCGTAGAATATAAAGGAACCAAACCGTGAATGCCAAATATATAATGATTGGAAAACCATGTGGCTGATTTAAGGGGTTTAAACAAAATTAAAGTTCAAGTTGAGCAAAATAAATGTATTTAAACTAGGCCTATCTGTGTGCCTTCAAGTTATTTGTTCTTTTACTTTTGGACTATGGATAATGTTTACAATGATTTGTCAATGAACATATTGAATGCACATTTTTATTCATAGATTGAATAAAAATTAAAAACAAGCAATAACATATCCAACAGACACAAATATGTTCACATTTTCACTGTAAAAAACTAAGCCATCCTAATTTACTTAATTATATGCAAAAAATATAGCTTTTGAGGTTTTTTACATTTTAAGTCTTAAGTTTACATCAATTTGCTCTGTAAGCCTACTTCAATGAACTGACACCAACATAAAAGTACAATTATAAGAAACCCCTATCCAGAAGTAGGCTATAATCTAATCGTTCCCTCATCATTAGTTCTTAAGTTTTAATAGTTGTTGTTGTGTTGGAACCGAATCCTGGTAATTGTAACCCAGAAATATCACTGAGCCAATATAACCTTGTGTCTACACCAGAATCTATGAATGCTGCAGTCACTGTGAATTTTTAAGAGTATACATTTCACTTTTATATACGTTTAAACGATTAGCTGACAGCAACGGTGTAGTGATCAGTTTATTTTCCTAAGCGATAACAGTGCTTTCAGATTCTGGTGTACACACTAGCAGATTCAAATACTGTACTAGGTTTTTTATGGCCCAGTGAGAGTTCTGGGATAGGTGTTTATTTGGTGAGGTTTGTTTGCAATGCACATATCTGTCATACCTGTATCTGTCTAACTATGTTAAGCATCCTCTGGCCTACGACATGATCAGACGTGATGGCTTCTCTGCTAAAGGCTTCGGCAATGATGGCAATCAGCTTGGGCAGGTTGGCATTGCTGGGACCCAGGATTACAGGGTGGTTGTTCTCAATCAGATGACAGAGGTAGCCGTAGACATGGGGAGCTTCTTCTTTGTCTTCAGAAACCGGAAGCCATGACAGCCTGACAAGGAAAATCTAATGTCACTGAGGGTAAAACATGTATAAAACAAGGTAGTGGCCATTAACAATTGAATGCTTATCTCCACCACTGTGGGAGATAATCCCCATATTACTTTGAGCACAGCTCGATTAAAAATCTCAAGCTGGCACACCTCTTTTTATCTATATAATTAATACGCGAACACAAAGTTTGTCGGTTGAACTCCTCCGCCATTTCTTAACCGATTTTATCAATTGACGTCTCATTGGAAAGAGCGTGTCGCGTAGATTTGCAAACTGGCCTTACATTTTTGAGAAAGTCCCTTGGGCTCTGCCCCAGTGACTTTTAAAGTCCCCATGTTATCCTTATGAAGAACATAATTGTTTACATTTTGATCAGCTGTATAATTTAATTGCTGTTATTTATTTTTCAATTTAACGAAACGCATTGGGTAAATTTACTGATTTTGTTGAAATTGAGATTAAATATTTACTATTTTAATTTACATTTGTACAAAATCGAGAAAGCTTGAGCAATTTGATATTTTTTATTTGACCAAATAAGAAAAATAATTTAACACGGTACTGTTATTCTTGAGCAATCATTGAAAGAACCGATTTGTTAACCATGGAAACATAGGAAAGTAATAGAACGCCACCAAGTAGAAGAAATAGAGATAAAAAAAAATACTATCTTTATCATCCTATACAATGAAGAACACCTACAATATGAAGATTCCCACAAACAATGTACAAGGATGTTAGCCATAGTGCTACTATTTTGAAGAAAACACGGACTTAACTTTATGATGATTGGCAAATGAAACCCCTAAGGCCAAATTAATCTGGTACGGCAAGGACATTAAATGTATGTTTTCATAAAAGTAAAGTGATTTTTTTTGTTTCATTGAAGAATTAGAATTATTTGCATTATTATTCATATTTAAGGGAAACAAAAACCATCTGAACAAAATTAGGCCTTTCAATTCTGCATTTTTTTTTTAAGGTAAATAGAATTTACGTTATAACAGTAACTAGACAAATTAATGCCAATTGAAGCAAATAAAATTGTGACAGAGAGGTTATGCAGAAAAGCATGTAGTTCTTAAGTAATGTGAACAAAATGTTATCGCTATAAAAAAATGACTGCAATTTGTACACTAAAAACCAGATCAGCTTTTGAAAAATGATAAAATGTTTACAAGAAATGTTGATTATATGGAACTGTTAGATACCTGATCTATGAGTTGAGTCTTATAACCCATCGGAAATTATGACTTTTATTCGTTTTTAAACTAGTTATTTGTTTTTAAATAACTACTTTAATTCTGTGCAATTGCTCGATTTCGAGCAACACGTAAACTAGTAATTATAATTTCTTTTTGATCCTTGTTTGTTAGATATTTATTTACCTTTGATATGGTTGTTATTTATAGTGTTTAGAAGAGTTTATAATTTGATTGGCTAGTTAGAATGTGTGCTGCTCCATTATTATTCTCTTTACTCATGAGTTCGTGACCAACATATACAGAAAATTTGGTAAAGTTGAACAAATGGTATCGGTATCAAGAATAGGTTATTCAGGTATTGTTATCAAGAATCGATCAATTTTGGTATTGACATATCACTAATAAATTTGTACCCAGAAAATTATTATTAATGGTAGTAACTACCCTCCTGGCACCTAAAAAGACTAAGTTTGGGACAAAAACTTGTATTACTAAATATTAGGGATGGTCAAGTCTCGAAATTTCGGGAAATTTTCGGGAAATTTTCAATCTCGTTACACGAGACGAGATTACTTTTTGGCCGAGATTTTATTGAGACGAGAAAAAAAAAAAAAAAAAAAAAAAAAAAAATTAAAAACGCATGCAGAAAGTCAATGCAATACCCGCAATACAGGAGCGTGTTGTAGTTGCGTTTCCTTTTCGAAGGAGTTCTTATTTAATTAATTCTTTTAATGTAAATATTACTTTCAATATTTTAATAATATTACTTTAATAACATTTAAGAAGTTTTGTTAAGTGTAAGCAGTGTGAGGAATGTTTTATTACTATAAAAAAAGTCAAAACAAGTAACTATTTTATAAAAATTAATATTGCTTTTATTTTATTACTTTCATTATTTTAATAATATTACTTTAATAACATTTGAGAAGTTTTGTTAAGTGTAAGCAGTGTGAGGAATGTTTTATTACTATAAAAAAAGTCAAAACAAGTAACTATTTTATAAAAATTAATAGGCCTATTGCTTTTATTTTATGATTTATTTTATTTTAGGATAAGTTGAACTCTATCCTAACTGATATCACCATGTTTCCTAATCGTAGGCATTTTTAATAAGTTAGGCGTGATTAATAAAAAAATGTTATGCTGATGTTATTTAATGAAAGATTGTAAATATTCTTGCCTATTATCATTATTTTAGTATTTAAACAGTCATCTAACAATGTTACAAAATCAGGTAAAAATTTCGAACGTGCATTTCCCGTTGTGTATGAGAAGAGAAATCTCGTCTCGATCTCGTCTCAAAATTTTATGAGAAATAAAAAATCTCGTCTTGTCTCGTCTCAAACTAAAAATCCAATCTCGTCCATCCCTACTAAATATAACTGTTTAGAGTAAGGGTAATATTTATTTGAAGAAACCTTTTGAATCAGAATAATCCTGTACTCCTGAATAGATTGATCAAAGATCCAAGACATCCTGTCTAATGTTTTAACAATCAATCTTTATTAAAATACAAATCACATAGTTTAGTAGAATACATACCAATGGGGAAGAATTTCGTCAACGTTGAGATTCTTATTGTTGTGTTGTAGGATTTTGGTAACTGCAGAAATGGCGTTTTCTGTTGCACTGATGTTTTCGATCTCTCGTGAGTCAGGAGCAGTGATGATTTCAACAAGCCTTGGTAAAACTTCAGCACACGATGCTGTAATACACAAAAGGAAAATCAATTAAAATATAAATAAATTTAAGTTAAAACTCCCGAGAGCTATTATAATTTAGATCTCAATGAAATTCCAAAATATATATTTTATAGAATTGTTACCGGTCAATTTACAAGGTATGATATGGGTTTAATAGACGTTACCTGCGAAGCCGTCACCACCGTGCATGCCCAGCACCCCACAGCCATAAACAGCTGCTTGCCGCACCTCGGGGGACTTGTCGGTGACATGCTGCAGCATCGGAGCTAGGAAGAAGTTCTGGTATTTGGCACAAGCGGGACCTCCCATCTCAATGACGTCGTCGAATATACAGAGTCCCCACTGGTGGTCGGACCACGGCCTGTCAGGCTCCTGTACACATCAGGTAAAACATTTGTTATGGCGTTATTTGAAACGGTTTTGTTTTTACAAAAGTAATATCTCTCTTGGAAAACCAACGTGTCTAGTGAAAGGGTATTTTTTCAGTAATGTGATGAGAATAAGGCAATAATTTAAATATCGAGGTTATGTAATACTTTTAATGAAAGTTGAGGTGTAAAATATACACCCGGATAAATAAAACTACTAAGGTTTTAGTGTTACTGTTATACAAATTCAATTGTTCTTATGCATGGTTTTTGCAGTATGATATTCACATAACCACAAAAAGGTTCTTTACACTTGAATATGTTTAATCAAAGTATAGTCAATTTATTATTGGTAGTAATAATGTGATTATTAAATGATTAAGAAAATTTTTGAAAGTTTAGAAACAGGTTTTAAATTGTCAAACTGTTTATTGAAATGAAGGTTTTATGATAAAATTGCTTAGTATTTGAAACTCTGTTAGTAATTTAGTTTTCTTCAATTATTTATTTATAAAAGCTAAAATATTTTACTAAGCTGTAATAGCTTGCTGCAAAGCCATAAATAATAGGCTTGTCTGAAGCACACAGAGAAACTTATAGATATAAATAAATATCCTCAGTAAATACTAATCACAATTGGTTTCTTCCATGGTCTGATTTAAGTCAAGGTGATCAGCCTATTCAAGGAAACAACGTTGGTTGAGGTACTAAATTAAGTTCAACAGAAGATTGCAGAAACCCACAACATAATATTAAATGAATTTATATTAGTACATGATCATGAGATAAACAAAAATTAAAACTATAATCCAATTTTGACACATTCTGATGATAACTCACCAAAAGTTTTACGAAATGGCCGACTATTTGATCCAAGAAGGGGAAGAAGTCGGTTTTGTAGGCGAGGAAGAGTGCATGGACAATATCGGCAATTTTACTTAACATGTAGATGTCATCATTGATGTCGTCTTCTAGTTGTTCTTCAACTACCTAAAACAAAATTTAATCTAATCATAACATCGAAAAAGCAAAATAAACATTTTTTAAATACACACATAGAGGTATAATAATTTATTAACTAGTGTACCTGTTGTTCGAATTCGAGCAATTGCTAAGTAATACTACAGGCGTTATTTAAAACAAATAACAGTCATAGTTTCTGATGACTTTAAAATATTTGACTCAAAGATTATGAAAATACTAACATATACAATCAGATAACATAGATAACAGATCGATATAATCAACATTTATTGTAAATAGTGTTTTATACAAATAGCCTTACTCATAGCCGCATTAGGTTTCCAGACACGTTATGTGTCCAAAAGCCTAACAGCACGACTCCCTTCCTCATACCGCCCTGAGCGATAGGGATCATTGAGATTCGCTCTAACCTTTCCTCTCCTCTTCATGGACAAGTTTCATCCCTTTTCTTTCTTAGTTTTTGTTTGTTTAATTTTTTTAAATTTTAATGCCTGTATGTATCCCTTATCTTTTCCTATTTGCCTAGCTACTTTTCTAAACGTCTCAATTGCTTCCTCATATATATATCTCTATCATATATATATATATCTATCATATATATATTCTTATATATATATATAGTATGTGTCATATATGAACTAACTCGCTACTGCTACTCGGCCACTGCTCAACCCTCAGTCTCAGTCTACTATGATCAGTGCGGTAAGCAATAGTACTTTCCATGTTTATAGTCCCGAATGCAATATCACTCATCATGTTTTATTTTCTCATCTCTAGGCCTATCTTATACAATACTTATTCATGTTCTCTCCTATTTGTCTCCTGAAGTAAACAATTTATGAATATCTGACCCGTGGTTTTTATTTCTCCACATCTACATACTTCCTCTTTCACCATGTGAAATCTTCAAAAAATCGCCTTGAAATTTTCCATGTCCTGTGACAAACTTCGTTTCATAATGGCCCATCTCCCAATCTTGTTCCAGTCTCTTTCTGATGTTAGGTATATATCCGAACGTTTACCTTTAAAACGTAAACATAAAACACTGCTCCCAACTCATTTTCCACTCATCTAACATCTCCTCTCTTCTGTTTCCAAAGTAGTCCTACCTGCCTCCTCGTCTTCCAAAATCAACAGCTCATGCAGCGATTATCCAACAGTCCTAAATTGAATGTGAAATCTTCAGGCGACTGTTGGAGAGCACACTTAAACCCAACATGGAAGGGTGCTTGCTGTATTCGGCTATCAACGACAATAGTATTATTTGTATTTCGTTCGCGTCTACCAGTTAAAGTTCGTCGGCCTCCTCCTATTGGCCGTCCTGGTCGACGTCTTAATATAGTCTCCAATTATGTCGAACGTTTTTTTGGTTGTGTTTTGATTTTGTGCAAAATTTTTGTATAACCAGCTGTTTCAAATATTAGTGTCAATTTCAAAGTATTCATCCATGTTCAAATGTGCAATGTTACATGTCATTTTTAGACCTTTCACTACATTCATTCTTTAGTTATATAATAATTCTTCTTTTATTGTACCAAAATTCGCCATATAGCCTATTTAAATAAATTGTCAGAAAAATAATAGTAAATTTAAATTATATTATCCTTTAATCACCCCTCAGAAACCATCATCACATTTTAAAATATATTGTAGGCCTATATATTCAACACATATTATTATTAATAAAAAAAACTGTAACCTGTAATTAATTCCATAGTTGCAATAACACTTTTATCCAAATTTATTAATATAGTATAAATTATTTCTAAAACCCCAACATTGAATTAATATCCAAAAGCCTGAATATTTAGTGCATGTGCAAGTGATGAAGAAAGAAGACAGCTGGCTTCAACAATGAACTCTGATCATCCTGTGTAAAATTAAAATTTTCCTCCTTCTCTATTGGGACATGGCAGCATCAACACCTTAAATTAAGTGAGGGTATAATCCCTAATATTTATAAAGTCAGTGATCAAAATTATTTAACTGAACATTAACTTAATAACAGAAGAACAGTTTAGCTTTTATATATACATTTTTTTCATTTCAAAATTGTACTGCCACCTCAAGATTTATATAAATTGGACACTATTACTGAAGATCTGGTGAGAACTCTCCATTTTGTATAGGCTTAGCCTACCTTCAAGAAATTTAACTTAATAGACCTATTTTATTTACTTTCTGATCATCGAACCTAATTATTTGAACTCAAAAACTACTTTATTTCATCAAGAATAATCCCTGAAAAACAATTTGAAGAAGAGAACTAAATTCAACTTTAATAAATTTTTCACCTAGTCTATTCATTGTTGGACTTATTTAATTTACCTATCCAAGCCTAAGAGCAATATCAAAATTATTCCATTTTTCATAATAATTGACATAATTTATTTCATAAATTAAAATATTTGAAGATCTTTTTAGCCAGCCGAGTTCCCCTCCCTGAGATTTATGTAATTAAACTAAATTATTGTAAACTCATTGTTCTGTTTTTACTGAGCTAGGCTAAACCAAAGATGGCAACCCTATAACTTAACTTATCTGTTATCTGTTCATTTACCCCATTCATAATTGTAATATCTTATTTTTAGTTCATTAAATTTGTATTGTTAAGAAATTCTTCAGATTAATCATTTGTCTTGCTTTAAGTATTTAATCTAGGCTTAACTTAGCATAATAAATAGTAAGCAAATTAAAGGTACAAACCTAAACCAAATTTTATTAACTTAGTCTAAATTATTATAAACACAACACGCATTAGTGTTTTCTTTTAATGGCGTCCAACGTATTGGCTACAAAAGGTCTTCAAATATCTCGTTATTGCAGCTAGCCTAATCTAAGTATATTGAATATAAGCATTTTATGTTAGTAATAATTTATCCCTCCCTGCAATAAGCGTCCCCAATGATAAATGACAGAGCATAGATATAATTTCCGACGGCCTAGAAAATACCCAAACACAATGAACTCTGATAACCTAAACGACATTGCATTCAATAGTTCAGAGGACGAAGGCAACATTAACGCATTTGAACACAACACAAACATTCCACCGATATCAAATATTAAGCAAGAAACTCCCAATGACATAGAAGGCATGCAAAACACAATCATTCCACCGAATTAGCATTATTTACGACGACGACACAACACAAACAGTGAAGTGACAGAAGGCGGCAGCCATCTTAACTTGATCGTGACACCGGCATCTTCTTCTTCACTCACTCCAGTCACTCCACATCCATTCAAAACAAGAGGCCGTAGTAACCGAAGTAGCCGCTAGTAGCAGCACCGTTCAACAACCTTCCCAAAGTGCAGACAACCCGCTTCATTCATCAATTTAATACAGATTACAGAATACAGACCGTAAAATGGATAATGAAAACACAATTATGTCAACTGATAGTGGCATAAAAGGCAATTCCCAAACTATACAACTAAATCAAACGGCAAACCCAGATATTATTAGTCTTCTAACGGGCTTATTCCATGAAATAAGAGGAGTTAAATCTGATCTGAGTAATAAAATTGAAAAGTTCCAGAAAGAAATTAATTCAAAGTTTGACAATTTTACTGAACAAGTTGTAAACAAGTTCACTACTAATATTGAAGAAATCCCTATTAAAAATCACCATCCAACGTAGAATATCTTTGAAAACGACTTAAACAAGACTACAACGACACTAACTCAAGACTTCAGTATAAAGCAATCAGAGCTAAAACTCAAAAATGATAAAAAAATACCGATGAACGACTTTGTTGAAAACCATGATAGCAGAGTTCAAGACTTAGAAAACATCAATCAAAGTAAACTCACTCTTAAATCAAATCCCATAATAATTATTTGCCATCAAAATCGACCCACGCCAGAACCATCATTCGGTCTTCCGAAATCGAACGGAAGAATCAAAGATCCTCGAGAAATTCCTAGTCCCAGTAAACATAAGAAGAATTTTGAACACAGTGTAGTGAAAGCCAGTATGAACTTTGAAGAAACTGAACAATACGGCGACAAAAAATACTTCGACTTCAAAAAACGGAAAAAGTGTAATTTAGCCTAATACTCAGATCTTAAGAGACCTACTATCCATAGTGATTACCAATAAACTGTGATATCGGACACTAATCGCGAGTGCGTACCCCATCCATCCCATATTAATACTATCCTCCAAATCCCCAAGAAGATAAACATGTTATTTTCTATGCTCGAAAACCTATTACCCTTACTTCCCAATTTACTACAATGTAAGTATCTTTTGTTTTGTTTTAATTTTCAAATGTTTTTATGTTTTGTTCTCTTTTAAAAACTTGTTTTTCCCTATAGATATAATTCAACTTCCAAGATAATCAATCATTTAATGTTTATCATTCTAACTTTAAGATGTTTTATTTCATACTTCTGTATCATCATGACATTTCACATTTTATCGAAATTTTTTTTCTTGAGTTCTCAGATAAAAATTTCTGAGGGGATAATTGCAATGTTACATGTCATTTTTAGACCTTTCACTACATTCATTCTTTAGTTATATAATAATTCTTCTTTTATTGTACCAAAATTCGCCATATAGCCTATTTAAATAAATTGTCAGAAAAATAATAGTAAATTTAAATTATATTATCCTTTAATCACCCCTCAGAAACCATCATCACATTTTAAAATATATTGTAGGCCTATATATTCAACACATATTATTATTAATAAAAAAAACTGTAACCTGTAATTAATTCCATAGTTGCAATAACACTTTTATCCAAATTTATTAATATAGTATAAATTATTTCTAAAACCCCAACATTGAATTAATATCCAAAAGCCTGAATATTTAGTGCATGTGCAAGTGATGAAGAAAGAAGACAGCTGGCTTCAACAATGAACTCTGATCATCCTGTGTAAAATTAAAATTTTCCTCCTTCTCTATTGGGACATGGCAGCATCAACACCTTAAATTAAGTGAGGGTATAATCCCTAATATTTATAAAGTCAGTGATCAAAATTATTTAACTGAACATTAACTTAATAACAGAAGAACAGTTTAGCTTTTATATATACATTTTTTTCATTTCAAAATTGTACTGCCACCTCAAGATTTATATAAATTGGACACTATTACTGAAGATCTGGTGAGAACTCTCCATTTTGTATAGGCTTAGCCTACCTTCAAGAAATTTAACTTAATAGACCTATTTTATTTACTTTCTGATCATCGAACCTAATTATTTGAACTCAAAAACTACTTTATTTCATCAAGAATAATCCCTGAAAAACAATTTGAAGAAGAGAACTAAATTCAACTTTAATAAATTTTTCACCTAGTCTATTCATTGTTGGACTTATTTAATTTACCTATCCAAGCCTAAGAGCAATATCAAAATTATTCCATTTTTCATAATAATTGACATAATTTATTTCATAAATTAAAATATTTGAAGATCTTTTTAGCCAGCCGAGTACCCCTCCCTGAGATTTATGTAATTAAACTAAATTATTGTAAACTCATTGTTCTGTTTTTACTGAGCTAGGCTAAACCAAAGATGGCAACCCTATAACTTAACTTATCTGTTATCTGTTCATTTACCTCATTCATAATTGTAATATCTTATTTTTAGTTCATTAAATTTGTATTGTTAAGAAATTCTTCAGATTAATCATTTGTCTTGCTTTAAGTATTTAATCTAGGCTTAACTTAGCATAATAAATAGTAAGCAAATTAAAGGTACAAACCTAAACCAAATTTTATTAACTTAGTCTAAATTATTATAAACACAACACGCATTAGTGTTTTCTTTTAAATGTAAACAAACATTTTCTCCCTAAGTATAACATGGGAACTTTGACGGCCACTGGGGCAGAGCCCTGATGGAATTCCAAAGTTTTTTGTTTGATGGCAAAACTACATGCTAAGACCTTTCTAACGACACCTTGAATATGGTGATCGGTAGCACCACCACTCCAAAACAATTATGACAAAAATATGCCTAGCGTATTAAAAATATAGATAAGATGAAGCTAAGTTAGTGCATTTAGAGATTTAAATGCAGGCCCACATTTACATATAAGTGCTACATACTTAGATTGACTTAGTAGTTGGTATTGATTGTCTGTTGACTTAGTGGTAGACTTAGATTGTTAAAGGCAAGATTAGTACCATAGTTTGAAAGTTAAAGTAATAACAAGAAATAGTCAATATCAAAGTACACCCTGCATAATCCAGACAGCTTACAACTATAGCTACGAATCTTCAGCTGACCCAGAAGGCCACTTACAAGCGATATTGATTTAATCTATGATTCTAGCCTAAGAATTTCAACTCACTTCGTCATAATCTTCATCCTTTCTCTTTTCCAACCTCTCCACTTCTCTTTCAAAGTGTTCTTTCAGCTGCTTGTCTAGGATCTGGAGGAGTTCAGCCATGTGAGCTTCTGACAGACATCCACTGCCAAGGGTCTCTATACACTGGTAACACAATAATCAATTAAAAATAATAGCCCAACATAAAAAAATACTACAGTAAAATGTTTATGTAAATATCAAGCAAACAAATGTTTTATATCAAAAGGCCTTGAGGACGATTCAAGATTCAAGCCATTTTCCCGTTTATAATTTGTTCAAAGTATCCGTGATTCACACAAACATACAACACAACACTGATAGTTAGGTTCCTACAGGTTGTCTACTTAGGACATTTCCAGGACACCCGGGGCGTTTGTAACAACAAAATTGCAAGCTATGACCAAAGAACCAACTTATTTTTCAACCTATTTTGATGTTATGTAACTCAGAGTCATACATTTGAAGATTCTTTTAAAAATGTTTCAGTAAAAGGTTCAGTTTTAAGTAAGCAGTTGTTATCTAAAACCATCCTAACAGCCAGCCTAAAACAGAAGGATTTTGTTAAGAATGGTTATTTTGGGAGTAACTGAAGAAATATCTCACAAATTATTTTTGACAAATGCACATCTTTAATTGTGTATCACCCAATTATCCTCAAACTAGATAAGTAATTAAAAGTGGATTATATGAACTGAAACAGCTTTCACAAGAGAAAAAAACAATATGTACAAATTTTACATGAGAAAAGAAGTGAAAAACAATTCCAGGAACAACAACTTTTCAGGACAATTAGAGAGATGGCTAAACTGAAGGACTTTCCAGGTTTTCCATGAAAAAGAGAGAGTACCTTTGCCATGGAGTACATAAGCTCTGACATCACGTCACTCTCAGGCTCTGTGCTGATAGCTTTGAGCAGTTCAGGACAAATGTAGTTCCACATCTGCAACAGGTACTGGGGACCTGCACAACACACAAACACATGAGAAAAATAGCTCCTAAACACAGCATCTTTTAAGAAAAGAGCCCTTGGCTTAGTTGTACCTTTGGTAGCACACAAGTTTCACAGCACAATTAATTTGATATTTCAAACCATTAGTGAGGCTGAAAATTTATTTTGTGGGAACGCCTAAAGAAACGGTGCAATTATCAAGCAACAAAAGACTCAAGCTTAGCCAATGAAAAAGTCATAGGAAATAGTGGTAGTTAGTTGAAGTTAAATACCTTCTCGTGTATAAACGACCATGGGAGTAAGAACAAGTAAGAATAGGCAGTATTGGGTAGTTGCAATATCATGTAACTTGAGAAAGCAGTACTTAATTTTAAAAGGTAGTTTTAATAAAACATAATGATGTGCCATCTGCCGTGTATTTGAATCACACTATTTTTCTCTTCTAATTTTATACATTAACAGATAGAAAAGATTGAAGAAATATTAATTTTTAAGAAAATGATGACTTAGAAACATTACCTTTGATCTGTGCACATTCCAGCAAGCACGGCAAACTTTGAGCAGCGGCTGTCCGCACTCCGTCGTGGAAGTAGAACTTAAGCAGAGGCACCATCAACCTAACTACTTCCTCAGCGTATTCAGCAAAACCCTCCTTCAACTCTCTGGCATAACACACAAGCATCTCACAAGCAGAAGCCTTGTCTTCCAGACCTGCGGAAAAATTAAACACAACCTATAGGTTAATAAAGAGTACATCAGAGCTTTATTGTAATATGTTTAAACTAAAAGTATCCGTTTGGTTGAGATGATAAACTCAGGATAGGATCTTGGAGATGATAAAACTCAGGATAGGATCTTGGAGATGATAAACTCAGGATAGGATCTAGGTTGGGATAAACTCAGGATAGGATCTAGGTTGGTTTTTATTTTTATACAACTAAAACTAAATAAGGAGATAAAGGAAAGGAGGGGGGACTTACAATAGTTATACTTTCTATTCAAACTCTCATAGACATCATCTGTAAAAAAAAAAAAACATTACTTCAATTATCAATAGCTACTTAAGTGTGATACACAGCTAAGTACAAGAATAAATAATTGTATCTACCTCATATTTATATTTTAAGTTATAGGCATCTTCAAACCAAATAATAAAATGTATACTATCATTACTAGAATAAGAAATTATTAAATGATTTGACTACTCATTATAATCAGCTATTTTATTATTCAAACTTTGATTTAAACAGCAGAGGAACACCAAGAGAAAGAATGATGTTTAACAGTTATGACAGCTTTCATATGAAAACACTGGAAAAATATAAACATACATTTAAAAACATTATTATAAAACAGAAAAAAACATTGCTATATATTTTTTGACATACAAACTGACCAATGTGTGCATCCATTTTCTAGAATCAATAGATTAGTTATTACTAAAGTAGCATGTCAAAATCAGCTACCAGTGAAGCACTCCGCCTAGTTATAGCGACGACAAGTACCGTGAATTTTATAAGCAAAAGTCATCATAGTAGACGGAACAATCTTTTGCTAATTCTTACATTTAAAACTATTGTGATTAGACTGTGAGCAAAAAAAAAACCGTGGTAGTGAATTAACAGAACAGAAAAAAACATCTTGTGATAGGTTAAAATACTATTTGCCTACAACAAACGGAGGATCAAATGGAGGTTGTAGGCGGAACAACAGTGAATAGCATCTGGGATCAAAATAAGAGTGATCTCTGACATGAACTAAATCTGGTGCTGCTGTTAAGAGTCTTGGCCTTCCAGATGATCTCCTTGTCGTCTCCACCTGCTGCGCTGACAACTACTCCCGCTGATAGTTGACAGCACTATTCATAGTCGATGCCATTAGTTACCTGCAGTCTTGATGCCAAAATTCTGCTGTTCTCCCAGAGATATGAACTGCCACTCCACATCTTGTGAAATCTCCTCCATGTCATCATTGTCCAGAAGAGCAATCTCAGGTTTCATAGATGCAGCTCTCATCACAGGCCCAATCACCAGCGGCAGATACTGCTCAAACTGCTTGCCTACAGAATATAGACAGAGATTACAATCAAGAACTTACTGTCACATTTAGCTGGAGAATGACTGTGAATCAAAAGTTTATTCCAAGATGGATACAACTCTTGCAAAAAGTGTTTGTAAAAAAGGTAAATTTTAAATTTAAAATTAAAATTTATTGTAGACTTACCCATGACTTTGCATATTCTTGCCCAGGCTGAGATAAGATAGGAGGTCTGTGGGTCGTCATCTGGAAGATCTGTGTGTGTCTTTAGCAGAAGGTCCATCACTTCTACAGCATCCGCCATAAACTGTGTCAAGACACAATGAATAAACAAACAATCGGTGGGTAGCTATTAATACTTTAATACATTAATACACTACTTTAACTTTTAACATTAATACTTTTCCTAGAAGTTACAAGTTTTGTAGAGTTAGTTTCATGTCCTCAGCATCAGGGTTGAGTAATACCTACAGTGTGTTTTGAATAAGTCACAACAATAAAACACTGTGGGACATTTCTACTGTTGTTGTGAAGGATAAGGAATATTTAGTCTAACAACAATTGTCAAAAAACGTCTACAAGTTTTCAACCATTTTAGGACCATCTGACAAACTAAAGCGAATAAATTACCACAAGACTGAGTGCAGTAGGCCATAATAAACGGATAAAATAACACAATGTGAGACGGTACCTTTTCAGATCCTACAGCCAATCCAATGAGACTGATGCATTCTATTGTTTTCCCTCGTAGCAGTTTCAGTTCTGGCCCGTTAGACTCTTTAATTATGTATTTCAAACGCGGCACCAATCTGTTTAAACATCAAAATTAAATGTGATAGATGCTACTTCAACAAATAAGTATTCCTGGTAAAAGATCAAGTGGGACATAATAAGTGAAGATTCTCTGAAAATAACATGGTACTGATAACAAATTTGATATATTCAAGGTGTAACTTACACTTACACAAACATTTAAACTAACAACTTTTAGTACAGGTTGGGTCAAAACAGATTAAGCAGTTTCATTTGCATAGTACTCGGCCTGTGAAGGTAATAAGACACTTTTGATCATGTCATTGGTATTTCATATAATTTCAGTAGCCATCATAGTTTAGACCAGACAATATCAAGGTTATGCAGGGCGCGTGTATTTTAAAAACAAGTCATTGGTTGTAACACAAGGAGATTTTTGCCAGCGGCTTTTTATTCCATGCAGCAACACTGTTCTTAGTGCAAACACAATACAATCGTTTCCCAAAAAGATGAAAAAAGGGATTGCTTAAAACTGGACAACAAAGACCAGGGAAAACACAAGATTCAGTTTGTAAGAGCAGCAGAGATAGTCGAGTAGTAGGCAAGACGTTTGCCAAATGTTTACAAAGCATTTGGCAGTAAATGTTTCTGTGTTTATTACAATCTAATTCTTTTAATTTTTATGCCAACCTAATTTTGTTGGATGAAAACACAACCCCAATTTTAGAATTGTTCTCAAACTACCATTCAACATTTCTAATACAATATGATACCTCCTAGCGGAATGTCTTGGCTTCTGCTCAACTGCTGCTCTGAACACTTGCATTTGCGGTTGTTCTCACTAATCTTTGTTGTCCGTGTTTCTCAGTTTTAAGGGTGCTACTACTTCTTACAACTTTATGACCAACCATTGATAAGTGTTTGAACTAGGAACAGTGTCGTTGCATGGATATAATATGTTAGGGCAAAAATCTCCTTGTGTTGCAACTAATGACTTGTTTTGAAAATACACACTCAGCATAACCTCAATGTTAGCAGGTCTACACCATGATGGCTACTAAAATGGTATGATTGGCCAATGACAATAAGACCAAAAGTGCCTGTCTATTATTTCTAGCGCAGCCAGAGTACTGCACGAGTGAAACCACCCCACCTTGTAGTTACACCATCTTGAAACCTGTATATAATATCAGTTTTAGGGCCTTAGACAGCAACAGGCTCTAGTAAAACTTACTTTTAAATGCAATATAAATTTAAGTTTCTGTTTTGGTGGTACTACTAAACAATGAAGGTAGACGAATCTAAACTCACGTGTCATAGTAAGCAACAAATTGTTCCTCGCAAGAATCAGCAACTGAGGCAATTGTAGTGACCACTTGCTCCAGAACTAACTTGGTACCCTTTTGGACAAGCTGTAAAAGCCAACAGTAAACTAGTTTTAAGTAAAAATTTGTCTCTGAAAAAATAATAAATGAGTGTAAAATTGTACTTTAATATGTTTAAAAACATTGAGTCAAACTGTTATTTTGTTATTCAGCAAGGTGATTTAAAAAGTCATTATTTAATTGTAAAAATGTGGTGAAAACATACCAATCGTACAAATGAACTTTGCCCAAAACAGTAGGCCTAGACGAAAACATAGTGTATTCAATAAATAAGCTGCATAGTTAGTTGGTCAACATTTCACACACTCATTAACACAAATTTTACATACACTGAATGAACTGTTATATGTTATGTTTGAACATAACTCTAGCACAGTTTTGAACACTATGAAAAACCACATCCTACACTTATTTATGGTATAATTCTAGTAATTACTAACTAGTGTACATGTTGCTCGAATTCGAGCAATTGCAAAGTATTACAGGAGTTATTTTAAATCTAATAACAGTCATATTTACAATGAGTTTATAAGAGTCAGCTCAAAGAATACCGGTGTGCAACTCGTGGAGATACTCACGATGTATATAACAGTAATCAACATTTCCTGTCAATATTGTAGCATATTTCATAACCTGGTATTGCTTTTTAATGTTTTATACAAACATTTCCTGACTTTTAGCCATATAAGGTTGTCCATGTTTATCTTCGTTATTGATAAACCTAAAAGCATTCCGGCCGGTCACAGGTCATTCATTGATAGAGGGCCGATTGAGAACGAAAAGTCGTTTTGGGGGAGTGTTAGGGCGCATTTGTAACCTAATAGTTGAGATTGTCCAGGGTCAGGTGCTGACTGTGATGAGTTAAGCCTATTACGCGCCACTGTTCTGTAGCTGCGGTCGTTATCACGATTACGCCTCCTGTCTATGTTTCGTTGTCGTCACGTCGGAGGCATAAAAAAACAACAAATAAACAAATTATGGCTACACAAAACAACGAAAAATGCACAAATTTACAATCATGCTAACACGATCCGTCATAGCGACACAAAACAAAGATAAATACACAAATTTAAGATACAACCATACTAACACGATCCGTCTTGGGGGTTATGTTTACACAAACTCAAATAGTAAAGAAATGTACGCAATGCTTTTCATTGAATTGAAAAATAAATAACACCAATTAAATTATACAGCTGGTCAAAATGTAAACAATTATATTCTTCATAAGGATAACATGCGAACTTTCGAAGCCACTGGGGCAGAGCCCAAGGGACTGTTTTTCAAAAATGTAAGGCCAGTTTGCAAATCTACGCGACACGCTCTTTCCAATGAGGCGTCAATGGATAAAATCGGTTAAGAAATGGCGGAGGAGTTCAACCGACAAAGTTTCATGTAGCGTATTAATTATATAGATTACATTATAGACATACTTGTTTAAAATCTATAAAAGACTTTATTTGATCTGACTTGATTGCTTGAACATTTTTCAATAATTAATTGCAGACATTAATCCTAAATTTTATACCATAAAATAAGTAAAATTAAAGAGCATTGTGATCCTTGAAACAATTACCTCAATAAACTTGCTGCCCAGGATGTCGTTGAGCTTGGCCATTATAGCATTTAAATACTGTGTGAGGATATTTTTTGGACACTCTTCACTGAAGTTGACTAAAGCGGCTCCTGAAAATGTTATCGATGATGAATATTATTATAACGTTCAGAAGTACGCTGTTCCTAGTTGTTACGACCCTAAATGAATAAGTAAAAGTGTATTCAACAAAGAATTTTGGAAAATGTCAGTTCAGTAAAATAATATACATGTTCCAATTGTTACGTTGGTTGTCATATTACACCTAACGGAACAGTTGCTAAGGGTCTAAGTCCCGTAAGGTCTCTTCGGCACAAAATTTGCATTTTTTACTTGTTGTTGAAGGTCTAAACGAGCATTAGAAGGTCTAAAAATACAGTCAATGTAGAAAACTTATCCACTGTAATTGTTTTAGACCTTGCACATTTATACCTTGGGCACACAACCTAAATTTTAAAATTTAATTTTTATGAGATTAGAGTTGCTGAGGGCCTAAATTTTGGAAGGTCTAATTAGACCTTCGGCATATAGTTTGCATTTTGGACGAGTAGCACACAGTCTAAAATGAGAACTAGAACATTTATTGACATGTAAATATAACAATAGTTATAGTTACTAGGGGTGTGCGAATAGTGATTTTCAACCTCGAGCCGAGCCGAGCTTTTTAAAATATTTTCGAGCTCGAGCTTTTTCGAGCCGAGCTTTTCCTTATTATTATTAATAATAATAATAATAATAATAATAATAATAATAATAAATCTTTATTGTCGTTTGGTAATATAAACATTACAATAGACAAGGTCAACATGTTTTGTTACATATGTTAAATAAAATATTAAATATTCTACAGAAAATGTTAAAATAAAGTTAAAAGAATCTTAAAAGGATAAAGCATCAGTAATAATAAAAACTTTAAAATTAACAGGGAAAAGACCATAACAAGAACAAAGAATCATCAAGACTGCTTGGCCTCACATTTAAGCGTTAAAAAATCTTCATTCTGCAAAAACTCATCAACTGAATAAAAAGCACGACTTGTAAGCCAATCTGATAATTTTGACCTATACAAATTAATACTTTCCTGATTTCTAAAATGTATTGGAAGTTTATTAAATAGTTTTATTTGCAAATATTTATAACTTTTGATAAATTTTGATAGCCTGGCTTGAGGAATATATAAATATTTTGATTGTCTGGTGATATACCCATGGATTGAGTTGCAAGGAACAAATTTATTCAGATTATCTTTAACGGAAACTAAATTGTAAAAAATTAAAATATTAGAGAGTGTCATGATTTTATTTTCAGCAAAAAATGTTTTGCAACTAACCCTATCTGGAATTTCAAACATAATTCTGAATTCTGAACATTATCAAAAAAATAAATTATTAAACATTTTTCTTCAAAAAGTGCATAATAATAATAATGTTCAGTCAATTTTTAAATAAACACAATATTATTTTAATATGTCTAAAAACATTGAGAATTGTCAAGACATCAAATAGTAGATAATCACGATAAGAACTGAACTGAACTAAATTAAGATGCAAGAAATAAAAGGATATGATTGAAGGCCTGATGAGATATGCAGTGCAGACTGAGCCAATCAGATTGTCTTTCATAACAGAACAGCGCTAACTTGAATGACAACAAAACAACTAGCAAGTCGATTAAATATGTATGTTGTAACTACTATGAATACTTTATTCCATTTTGTATAAATAAATAAATATAAAAACACGTGATTATTCTTGTTGTTTTCCATGCACAAAATATTTTTGTTTTATGAATCGTATTAATCAAAAAAAGAACATGATTGGTTAGGATCCAAAAAGGTGAAGAGACAAAGTAAAAAGTAAAATTATATATTAAAAAATATTTAATTGACATTTAGAGGAAATAGACCAAAACACTAAAATTAATAGAATAACACACAAAGTAAACAAGAAATGAAATAATGAACACGATGATTTAACACTGTCACTAAATTCTGTTATCTAGAAGGGTCGGTGAACTAATCAATAAATAGCCAAAACCAGTTTCCTCCCCCATTTCTCTCTCAGTCTCACCACCACCCCTCCCCCCCTGAGCCGGGAGGCCCAGCACTTTGTCCTTGAAACACCCTAGCCTCTGAAACAATAAACCCTTACACCCGCGTTGCTGTTTTCACAACAGGGTTATGAATGCATTCACTATTTTTCATTTTCCAGGATTAACTATCAATTATTATTATTTGCAAGTTATAAATAGGAAACTACATCACATTATGGTATTCAATGACCCATGTATTATCAAAAATTAATAATCCATTACTTATTTTGATAATAAAAAGCATTCATTACAGCACCACCACTTATTGATATTTAAATAATCATCAAAGTAACTGTTACTTTATACAATATAAAATAGGTACAAAATTGTGTGGCCAGTCAAACTTTATAAACAAACATTTTATTCTATAAAATACAGATGGTAAATAGGGGTTGGTTTAAAGGAAATAAAATACAAAACAGATAATTAATTATTTTGATAAACATTAGAAAGGTTATGGGATTGATTGAACTAAAATAACCGCAGGGAAACTTATAAGTAGAAAAGTCGTCAACCACAATCTGTTCAATCAGTACATTGTTAGAGAGAGCAGAGAGAGAAAGAGAGATAGCAGATAGGGGCGTTTGATAGAACTGTCCCAACTCATGGCAAGGAAATTCCCAACTTTTCTCTTTCCCAGATTCTAGGGGGGGGAGGCTCCCCCCCCTACCCCCCCCAAGGCGACGCCCCTGCTGGTGGCGTACTGTAGAACTTGATAGCTTCAATAGTTATACCATAGACAAAAATAATTAAATATAGACCGACAGCCGTGTTGCGGTTAGCATATGTTCTGGCGTCCACTGCTAGAAGTGTAGGTACGGCGCACATATCGCGGAACCTTCCTTTGACAGTATATATATATTTATTCTATTTGTCTATGGTTATACAGAACACTGCCTCTGTCATTTGGGCAACTTCCGACATTAAGACTGGGAATCAACTGTTCGCATACCTGGGATTTACTATATGCGCTAGTCAGCCAATCTGTTTGTCAGTAACATAATTTTGATTTTTTAAAGTTAATAATTTAATGTTAAGGTATTGTTAATTTATAATCTATTAATGTTAATATTAATAGATCATTAACATCTATTAACAGAAATTAAAGTAAAATGTTGCCTACTGTTTTAGGTTCCAGTTTAAATTGTTGGCCACAATTCTTGATAATTCAACATTCCTAAAACTTTGCACTATTCTGGTCAGCATTACACAGAGTCTGTGGGACTGTGCTGTATTCTATCTATACTCTTATATGAGCAATGTTTGCTTGTATGTATGCTTGCTTGCTTACACAGAGATTTTGAAAACGGCTTCAACGATTTCCTTCAAATGTTGTAAATAATGTTTTTCTGGCCTAAAAGCATGTTTAATGCAGTTAAATCTGTCAACAAAAATCTAATTAGGTAAAAAAATGAAATTGAAAGTCATAATTTGTTAACATTGGCCTTATGACTCATTAAGTAACCATGTTGGTTGAACAAAATAACAAGGAAAAAGTAAACAAAAGACTTTTAACATGTGTTTATAACAAGCTATCTACAGTATACTAGAAAATTACAAAATACAGTACAAAGAGGAAAACGTCAGTTGTTACTATTGAGCAAAGATTACACTGAAGATTACTCGATATAGGTGAAAATATAGTTCCAATCAAATGCTGATAATTTAACTTGGCTCTCTCCTACCAAAACTTAATTCCCGAGGTAATCAGATGTTTTAATTCAAATAAAATATCAAAACAAGTTTTACGCATGTTTAGGCTATTATAAACGATTGATTTTTACCATCAACTGATAAATTAATTAATGTGATGTGGATTGCCAGGTTAAATTTTCCATCATAATACATTGAAATTCCACTGAAACTTAAAAAATAAAAGCCAAAATTAGCTGTAAATAAAACGTGAGTTTCCTTTATATTGTTTTTACAATAATTGAATTAAACTGTACCGAGCCATAGCTCGGTCCCCGAAGGTGACTGGAAAGAGTCTATATCCTGACCCAAGAAACACAAAACTTTACACTATACAAAAATTGGAAATTTAAATGTCAATGACAGCATTTTTAACCAAAGGATGAAACCTATTTACACTTTCTTAACCAACAGTTTTAATTGATAAGTACATATTTAACTGCAACATAAATAATAATCAAAGAGATTGTCAAGTATAGTAGAGCTATCACATGGTAGACTACTTGACGGCAAATTATGATAATTGGTTTTAAACAGAAATAGTAATAGGACGTTGAATCAACAAGTTGACTCATCAGAGATAAGTGTAAGTGTACAAACGCAATGTACAAATAAAAGTGTCATTGCCCTTGAATGACAACTCTCTTTCCGATAGATTGAGGAAATTGATGTTTCCTACAACCAAAAAAATGGATGTAAACACTTTTCAATTGACTGATAAACTCTTACCAGCTAGATGCAGTACAGTATTGTAATTAAATGATTGATAAAAAGGGAAAAGTTGAAATATTCACATAGTAATTGTGTTCCTGAATTCATTGACTAAAGCCATAATAACACTATCTTATAACCAAAGATCTATTTGATTAAGCAGTTTTGTTATACTCTTTATTATAGCCTACCAAAGACTTTTAAGAGCACTTAAAAGACTTCTTTCTTAAGGCTACTTAAGATACATACATACAGGACTTTTAAAATCAGCATAATTTGAAATTACAGCAATAATTGCTATTTACTATGCTTTTGTTGATAGTAAACATTTTTGTAGCAAACTAAATTTTCAGTTTCAAGTTAATATATCAGGTCAATTTTGAAGAATAAATCAGGTTGAGTAAACATTGAATAGACAATCTGTACTTATTTAAAAAATTGGTCTTTCTTCTAGACGAGGAAAAACTCGGGAACGTATAAATTAACATTTTACTTAATTGGACCACCAAAATAATCTGAACATTTTCTATATTTTAATCAGTACCTTAAATTATAGTTTTTATTTCTAATCAACCAGTTGAAGAAAATGTGTTAAAAT